CTTGTTTGCGAAGCGAAGAAAGCGATCAAGGCGAAGATGACCGCGAATTTATGCATATTGCGGCGAATACTGATAGATCTTCGGAATTATTTACGAATTTGAATAATTTTGTCACACTTTGTCGTAGAATTCACACAAACCCCGTAAATAACAATTTTCGGCTATTACTTTACTAACGTTGCGTTACTGTTCACTTTCGTGAACGAACTGGCAAATCGTCTCGGAATGTGATAAAAAGTGGTGCGTTTATATGTCGTCCATGCAAATAACTTGAGAATATTGCTATTATTATTATGTAGTCGCAATTGAATTTGAGCTTATGCTAAACATAATCACAATGCGTACTGCCATTTACAATATCAATTTACACCTTACCACAAGCATTTGAAAATGTATGATGTAAACAAGGATGGAGTCGCAAATGTTCAACTTATTTTTGGCATTTTTTGGCATGACACAGTGGGGTATGATGGTGCAAAAAGTGGTCAGAAGCAAGCAAAGGAGAAAATAACTGTGATATTCTGTGTTTAAAAAAATTGTCAAACATTCTAAGAGGATTTAATTAATCTTAGCGAAATAACATAAGAGCTTCTAAATAACTTGAGACCCGACAAGTTTTAAGCAATTGTAAGCTTTAATTAAATACGTTTGAATAACAACGTAGAAGAAAACTAGAGGTAATCCATATATCAATACAATGACACTATATGAATCCTATGAACATATTTGGCACAAAACCACTCTATGTTAAGAGACTTTTGTTAACAAGTTTTATTACGAAAATTTTGGATGTACGTAACACATATATCAACTATATATGGACCGATTTCTTCTATTTTTTGTAGAAACCCTACAGAAATCACGCATATCCATTTATTGTTCGATACACAATTAAGCTTAAATTTTAGTGGAAACAGGAACACTTATACTCATTATCAGGGGTTAGAACCAACATTGCTCATCTACGCTCCACATCAATTTTCACACAATTTTCCAATTTCTGGCTCGAAGCTTTCTTACTGCTAGAGTTATGAGAGTTGCCTTTTATATTTCGGGATTAGAGAACAAAAACAAGTATTAATCGTCGCAAATCACTTTATTTTTTTATACTCTCGCAACCTGTTGCTACAGAGTATAATAGTTTTGTTCACCTAACGGTTGTTTGTATCATCTAAAACTAATCGAGTTAGATAAAGGGTTATATATATATAAATGATCAGGATGAAGAGACGAGTTGAAATCCGGGTGACTGTCTGTCCGTCCGTCCATCCGTGCACGCTCTAACTTGAGGAAAAATTGAGATATCTTTATGAAACTTGGTAGACATGTTTCCTGGTACCGTACGACGGTTGGTATTGCAGATGGGCGTAATCGGACGATTGCCACGCCCACAAAACGCCATTAATCAAAAACAAAAAAATTGCTATAACTAAGCTCCGCAATAAGATACAAGACTGTTATTTGGTACACAGGATCACATTAGGGAGGGGCATCTGCAGGTTAATTTTTTTTAAGTGGTCCCGCCTCTAATAGGTTTAATGTGCATATCTCCTAAACCGCTAATGCTATAATAACAAAATTCACTGGATGCAAATGTTTTTAGCACTTCTATTGACGGTGTGAAAATAGTTGAAATCGGGTGGCAACTCCGCCCACTTCCCATATAACTGTACTGTTAAAAACTACTAAAAGCGCGATAAATCAAGCGCTAAACACGCCAGAGACATTAAATTTTATTTCTGGGATGGTATGAGATGACTTTATAGGAACCGCGTTCAAAATTAGACAGTGGGCGTGGCACAGCCCACTTTTAGGTGAAAACCCCTATCTTGAGATCTGCTTAACCGATTTCAATCAAATTCGGTGCATAACGTTCTTTTTATATTTCTATGTTATAGTGCGAAATGGGCGAAATCGGACTACAACCACGCCAACTACCCCATATAACACCATTTTAAATTCCATCTGATTCTTTCACTTTCCACTATGCAAATCAGGCAACAATGACTGTATCGGGATAAAACTTTGCGTGAATAATGCGATTAAAGTATGCCACCTTATGGCCAAAAATTGTCTAAATCGAACCAAAACTGTTAAAGCCCCTAAGTACTAAATATGTGGACCCCAGTGCCTATAGTTGACCTTCTACCGAAAATATCAGTCAATCCACAAAGAAATCTCAAACGAGTATACTATTTGACTTTGCGAGAGTATAAAATGTTCGGTTACATCCGAACTTAGCTCTTCCTTACTTGTTTTTTTATTTTTTTATTCTCCATTAAGATCTATACAATTTCGCATGCATTTGAACCAATTCTCGAAGCACTTTTGCCACTCTGATTGAGGTATCTCCCAAACTTGCGTTCTAAACGTAACAACTGCCTCCTCAGATGTGGAAAAACGTTAACTTCTTGGTTTATTTTTTACATACGGGAATAAAAAGAAGTCATTCGGTGCTAAGACAAGACAATAGTGAATGAACGGTGATTTACACATATATCTTAAAAATACAGTTGTTTCAGTCGATGTGTGAGAGCTCGCATTGTCGTGGTGTAGAGTGATCCATCTTCGGCGGTTGGTTTTTCGGTTTTCTGGCAAACAAATGGTTGTGTACCACTCATAATTTACTGGCCTGTGTTGTTCTAGTGGTATGGTTGCAAAATGTCCAGTTTTTCCAAAAACAAAGGCATCCATTTGCTTGAAAGGGACTCTTGAGAGAACAACTATTGTTTGATTCGGCTCATCTTGAAACACCCATTCCAATCATATGTTCATGCAATTGAGTTGAATGTATGCTGATCCCACTTACGCACATGACGATCTTGCAATATAAGTTTGAGAACAGCAACTGATTTTGAACGACCTTTACGAAATTCCTCTTGGACTGTCGTAGCTCATTTACCATTGAATAAAAAATAATTAAAACTACTCAAGCACGAAAAAGTCATTACTCATAGCTTTATATCGCTCCTTATTGACTGTTACATTACGGCCGGCTTCATTTTTGTAGAAATATGGACCAATGATCCCTCTGCCTTTATTAACTACCCCTGGGCCCATTCTCCGAACGTTCAGCGCATTTGAAGGTCGTTCGGTTTCAATTCTTACTCGAATTGGATAAACGTGGTACGAAACCGATCCCACCATCGAATTACCGACTCTGCTGGGCGATTCTGTCGAATGAATATTGGACTCAGCGTGCGACGCGTCGATCGACCCAAGCCATTATTTTAGTAATAAATTTTCAAACGTTCATTATAAAATGTCAAACCAAACTAATATTAACCACAAAATTATACGTGCTAGATATTGTTACTTTCAATATACAGTTAATATTTAAAAAGCATAGCCTGTGAGTACCATCGTCGTTCGATGTGACAAATGCAGTTTCGAGAAAAACGCGCTTAAGCGCGTACGCTGCGTCACTACAGCGGGTTAAACAGGGAATAATTTGTTCACTATTCGGAGGTTAATTAAAATTGTAAGATCACTAAAATGTACTTTAAGCAAAAAAAAAAAACAAGAAAAAACGTTACTTTGAACCGAGCTATAACACCCTTCACAAATACAAAATTTCCTTACAAGAACTAAATTCCGATCGTTCAATTTGTATGGCAGCTATATGATATAGTGATCTGATCTGAACAAGTTTTTTAAAGATAACATTGTTGCCTTAGACAATAACTCATGCCTAATTTTGTCAAGCGCCTTCGTCAAATGAAAGAGTTTTCCATATAAGCACTTGATTCCGATGGTTCAGTTTGTATGACAGCTATATGTTATAGTGGACCGATAACGGCCGTTCCGACAAATGTGCAACATCTTAGTGAGAAAAGGACAGGTTCAAAAAACGGAGGGACTAGTTCATATATATACAGACAGTCGCACAGACGGACGGACGGACGGACGCACAGACGGACATGGCTAAATCAACTCAGTTCATCATGCTGATCATTTATGTATATATTTTATAGGGTCTCCGACGTTTCCATCTGGGTGTTACAAACTTCGTGGCAAACTTAATATACCCTGTTCAAGATATAATAATAATTAAATTTTTTTAATTTTAATAAAATTCCGTTACCTTGAAAACTTAACTTCATAGAACTACACATTTCACTGAACTTGCTTTGTCTAAAATCTAGAACATCACTAATATTGCGAATGTTATTGTATTATTTAATACTGTTTTTAAGCATACAAAAATTTCTTGAGAGAAGCGGCACAATCTTAACATAACGAGATATAATGTAATGCTCAGTTGTATTAAGCAAGGCCTCAGTATTATATACTTCTTCAAATGTGTTCAATCTATGGTATTTCTAAGCATTCTGTATTAAAAAAAGGAAAGTACCAATATACTTAGCTAATTTATTTTTACACGAGGACTTATTTGGAGGTGATATATTAGAGGAATTACCACTGTCGATTGAACTTATTTAATATTTTCCAAATTCTTATTTATAGTATTTCTAAAAGATCTATTTGACTCTAATATAGAACCAAATCTTGGATGCCCTCTTTCATACGCTAGTAGTTATTTAGCACCTCCGCGATAGATATGTAAACAATATGTCGATGTAAGGTCATTAACATGCGCTGAGCTCTAACTTACTCCAAAATATCATGTACAAACAGTTTCTTGGTCAGCTAAGCTGTAGCCATCACATACGATGCCAAGCGACAGCAAATCGCTTGTCACTGATCTCTCATCACCTTCGAAGGTACTCTGGCAGAGATTATGCAATAACCGAGTAAACTACGATTTTTCGTGGCTGCATAATTAAAACGATCAACAATGATAAATAAACATGACTCTTCATAAACAAGACTAAATAAAACTTGGGAAACTACCGAGGTGAGCAAACGAGTATTTACTTTGCCTTTTTTGGGAGCCCAGATCTGTTGTACTTTAATCGTTAAAGTGAAGTGTAATGACATTTGCCCAGTCGACTTATGTCAAAAACAGATTTCGAAACTTACTATTTACTGTTGGGATTGATAGCGTGTGAAACTATATAAGTCATATGGGGTTACGAAAAAATTTTAGATTAGCTCAGGCTATTGCAAGGTAAACTTCACAAGATAATTTAGAAATATTATTCGAAAGAGATATTAATTTTCAGAATCCACTGCAAGTATGTGGTATCTATCAAGAGTGTTATTAGCTTGCCTATTAGCTCTCACAACATCTACTTATGCTGAAAAGGAGCGGCTGACGCCGCCAGCCACGAGCTACGGTGTACCCGACTACAGACAAACTCGCTCCCTAGTCGGTGATAGTGACTATGATCTAGTTGGCCTTTCAACAGATCTCAGTGGCTTATCGAGAGATTTAAGTGGACTTGGCACCAGTTATAGCCATTCTGCAAGTGCTCTGGATGACAGTCTCAGTGCACTTAGAACCAACAACGCCGAAGCTTACACGAATGCGCTCAATGGGTATACCAATTACGGTGGAGACCTTAACGGATTACAGTCGGTACAACAATTCCCAGTATATTCGCAATTGCAACAGGTGCAGCAAGTTCCGGTGATATCGAGTTTACAAAGCGTACAGCAAGTGCCTGTAATATCTAGTGTGCAGCAGCCGGTTGTTGTACAACAGCCGGCGCTCGGTGTTGAAGGTCGTAGTTTGGGTGGTGCTGGCATTGCGGCACTAGGCGGTGGCTTGGCGGGTGCTGGTATCGGTGGTTTAGCAGGCGCTGGTACCGGCGTTGGTGGTGGTTTCAAGCGCTACCGCACCAGCATACACATTCGTTCGCGAGGCTTTGGCGGTGGCCTAGCAGGTTTTGGTGGTGTTGGTGGTCTCGGCGGTTTGGGTGGTTTCAAAGGCATCGGCGGTGGTTTCGGAGGTGGTCATTACAAAGCGCGCTATGCGGAGAGTTCAAGCGGCGGTTTCGCTGGTGCTGGTAGTGTTGCTGGCGGTTTTCTAGGCTAATTTAGAGAATTCACTCACTAATTTTAGATTACTTGTGACTAAGTACTTATTTTTTAAGTAGGTTTGTACATACATATATACATATATAAAATTATATAAACGTTTCCCGTCTGATCATGTTTAATTTCATAAAGACTAGCGAGAGTTCGTTTTTATCGAGAGTACTCTCACTCTGATTTGATACAACTCTACAAAACTGAGCTTTCAGTTCACATCCCTTGAAAGTAAATATGAAATACGCTAACTTCAAATAGGGTATATAATAATACTCGCATAATCTTTCGAAGGTATACTTAGGTTAAGAAAAGATTGCAAAGTTTGTAAAACAATCGCTGTTATGGTGCAAGTTGTGCAGCCATACAACTCGACATTCCAATATTTTTATATTCGTATGTCTGGATACATATGAACGTGCCGAATGCGTCGCGATCTTTGGATATCTGATTGAGTTATCAGTTGCTGACCCAGCATTTTTTGGAATAAAGCTGCCTAAATAGTAAAACTTGTCAACTTCTTCGAGGGCCGCTTAAACCCAAAATATAATTCAGTTTGCCACACAAGTTTGCAGCATCCCCAAGTCCATAACCAAGTTAAATAACAGCGGTAATAGCACTTACCTTTGCTTGACATCAGTTTGAACTTGCATGCCATAATGCCGTAGAATGTTTGAATGCCTTACCCAACAGCTAGCGCCTGAGTACAGCTGTTTACATGCTGGGGCTCTTCAAATCAGAGTGTCGAGCGCTTTTTCAATATCGATTAAGCTCAGATAGAGAGGAGTGCGCGCCACTCTACCGACTCCCTACAATAACTCATAAGGTATTGATATGGTCTACGCATGAACAATGCATTCTAAGCGAATTTGTTCATTACGTAGCCCCTGCAATCTTTTTAATAAAAGTATAAAAATATTATAAAAATCGAAACAAAATTTTGATTAAAGTGCAACAGTTTTTTACCTCTTTACCATTCAAGTTCGAAAATCCCACAACCAGATGTTGGAACTAGTTGACGGCAATATAGAGTAATTACAATATAATAATAATTTAGTAGTACCATGAAAACAATCCCCAAAAGGAAACATAGGAGATAGGGTATATATACATGTATAAATGATCAGTGTGACGAGCTGAGTCGATTAAGCCATGTTCGTCAGTCTGTATATATTCGACCTGAAATTTAGCACACGTTCCTTTCTCACCAAGAAGCTGATTATTTGTCGGAACCGCTGATTATCAGACCACCAAAGCATATAGCTGTCATACAAACTGAACGATCGGAACTAGATTCTTTTATGGAAAACTTTTTTATTTGACGCGATATCTTCACGAATTCTGAAATTGATTATTATCTAAGGCATTGCATACAAAGTAAACGATGGGAAACAATGATTGTATGGAACGCCTTTTCATTGGCAAGATATTTTCACAAAATTCGGCACGGGTTAGTATTTAAGGCAATGGTCCAATCTATGAAGAAATTGTTTAGATCGGAAAGCTGTAGTATAAACTGAACGATCGGAATCAAGTGCTTGTATGGAAAACTTTCCATTTTGACAAACTATCATCAAGAAATTCAGAAAGAATTATTGTCTAAGGCAGTGGTGGAATCTTCGAAGAAATTGTCTAAATCGGATCACTATAGCATCAAAGTAAAAGTTAGAATTATGAACGAAATCAATTGGGTTAGTTAAAGTAAATGACATGTGTAAAGCAAATAATCACAAATGATACCTACTCAGGTACTCATGTACTCGTGTACTTTACTGATATTTTTTTCTAATGCATACATATTTATTAGTTGGGTTAGGTAGAACATATAACTTAACTTACTTTATTATATAACATTAATTATTGTTTGAGAATTATTCAACAGGAAATTGCACACCATTAGGGTTAAACAACCGTTTCATTAGGTGTCGTTTAAGTAAATTAAAATAAAAACCACCCTGTGTTTGCAATACCTATGTATCCCTCTTCCACTGAACTACCGTTATAGCCGGAGACATGCGCATTTCTACCCCAAACAAAGCTGTTTGACATTACCATTTACAGGAAATGTCACTTTTTGACATTTCCCATCAGAAACAGAGCGCAACAAGAGCGCAATCCGCTCGCCGGAGCGTGTTCGCACAACAACCGTCAGCTCAACTGCATGGTCTCCACACGATGCACGGAAATTAGAATACAATTCAGAAATGATTCGCGTTTGAGACGGACGGGTAATGTGGCACGGTTGTGTGGGCTAAAGCGTTGGACGTAAAGCAGAAACAAAAAGTCAAAAAAAGAGAAATACAAAGAATTTTCCTGCATTTTTTCACAGAGAGCTTGCCAACAAGGCATGTGGAAATTTGTGCAAAGCAAAATTTAAGATAATGCCGTGATTTGGAAAATGAAATTTCTATTGAAAGCTTTATCGAGCTGGTGAAAGTGTGCTCCGTAGTGTGGCATTTCAGTGCTGAGGTCGTTGCTACGCTTGATTCATACGTAGACCTCCCTTCAGCCAGCCGTTTAGACAAGCAAAAAACACGTCTACAGCTAAAAATAGCAAGCCAAAAAAATTCCTTGTTGTTAAAAATATTTCGCTCGACGTAGCCGCAGTCGAAACAAGTGAAGTAGTGCTGTGAATTGAGATCTCGCACGAGAGTAAATAAATAGCGTACGCACCGTTCGCATTACAAATGTGCACAGAATACTACGAAGTGTGTTGGTTATATATATATATGTATGTACCGTTAGATACATATACATGGCACCACTGTCGTGAAATCAAAGATACAAATTTCATAATTTCACATCTGTCTTCGCCTTCGGTGGTGGCTGTGGAAGAAAGCAAACCAGCGAGCAAGGTGGCCAAAAACCAAAGTGACGATTGTGCAATTCGGTAGAGGGGTGAGTGACGGACACCCATACATACATATGTACAAACATAATTCCTAAATTGTGCAAGAAAGAACAAATACCGGGCAGTATATTAAAACTTTGTTGTTGTAAACTTAGACAGCAAAGAATAAAATCTTTGGCTCGCAAACACACGGAAACCTTGTAATTGCAGATTTATGTGCCACATGCGAACAGACTTACACACAATCGGCAAAGGGCGCAAATACCCACATACATACTGCGCGTGCATAAATAGTGCTACATTCATACATACATATACATATATAGATATATATGTCTCTTCATAAATCTGAAACGTGTGTGTTTCACGAAATTTTAATTTAGTGTGTAATGATTTGTATGTGATTTGTAGTGCCGTACAAAAAAAAGAAGAAAGAGTGGAAGTCAACTAACGCAGCCGCACGAAGAGGCCCCCTTCCGCATTTCTTTTGCTGAGGTAAGCAACACGACAATGAAGTCAACAACTTCGTTATGGGCCATTTTCGCACATATATTTTTCAAAATCATTTACATTTATCAAGGGAAAGATTTAAGGCGCTTGGCAAACATTTTATAATGGATTTATATTCTCAGCTGGCTGGTCCCAAAGCTACTATATTTAAAAATATTTCTGGATATCCAATCATTGAGCTTAGCGAACTGCGGTTATTATTCTGAAGGAATACCAAAAAAGGATAAGCGATCAGTTCTGCTTCCGTTTGAATTTTAATACTTTTGCAATTTGTAGAATGTAAAATATTTGTCGAAAGTCTGAGTAGTTGTTCTACAACCGAATATCATTTGATGCCTCGCTTAACTAGCATAAAGTAAAGCCAAGAAACGTTGTGAAAATATATGTTTATTCATTTTTTGGAGGTTAAGGGAAGTTTTGACCGATTTCATCAATTTTGGGTATCAAACTTTATTAGTTCTTTGAAAAGGGATGCCCCACGCAGCCGCACTTACACCCCAGCTGCCCAATGTCTGTTAAGTTGAAGTCGTGGAACACTGTCATTTAGTTTGAAACTACCATCTGTGTGTGAATTACTGCAGAAGCAGCCCGCTCCTGTTCCTATTTCAACCTTTGATCCCTCGGTGAATACGTAGATTTCGCCGTTAGAACTGCCGATCACAAAACCATTGATCCATTATTCTCAACTGTGGAGTAAAAACGTTGTGTTTAATTCCTCATGGGTCTCTTATTCTCGGTCATTAACAAGGTTGAGTATAATACCGTAGTGACACTGAGTCTGGCTACAATGGCCTAAAATCATGAGTCGGCTAACCGTAAGCATTACAAACCTTATTACTCCAAATGATCTTTTAAAATTTTTCTAAGGTATCCCACATTGGCTCGCTCACATCGGAATGTGATCGAGTTGGATCTCCACTAACGTCTTGCGTACGGGCTTTGGACCAATGGACCTCGCATGCACTGCGAGATCCTTCTGGCCGAGAGTGGATCGCAGGAGGTCGGGGGATCTTTTCGCCTTGATTGCGTGGAACACAAGGGAATTCAGAAAGGGGCAAGATATAGGCTATAAGGCGGGTGAGGCAAAACTTCCCAGCCGCTGGTTTTCAAATAGTTTTTAACCGGTCTAGCAATATGAGGCCGAGCGTTGTCATGAAGAAAAATTATTTCCTCGTGCAATAGTTCGCCTTAATTTGAAGAGTTGTTGTAGGTAGCATTCCCCTTTAATAGTTTCATCCGGTCTTAGAAGTTTATAATACAGCCCACCGTCAAATACAGAGCATTACCTTAGCCTCATGGATATTCGTCTTTACTGTTGATTTGACTGGATGGCCAGGTTTCACAAATAATTTTTTGCTTTTCGGGTTGGCGTAATGGATCCATTTTTCGTCACCAGCCATAATCCGAATCAAAAACGACTTTATTTTGTAGCGTTCAAGCAGCATTTCTGGCATGCAAAATTGTCTTTCCAGACGTTGAAACTTCAATTCATATGGCAACCGATTTCGTTGTGTTTGAATGTAACCGACTGTTTTTAAACGTTTTGAAATGGCTGCTTGAGACCTTCCCAAAGATTCGGAAAGCTTTTCTTATGTTTGGTACAATCTTCATCGAGTTATGCTTTGAGTTCCTCATCTTCAAACTATTTTGGCCACTCAACACGGCCTTCGTTTTCCAAGCCAAACTCACCACTTTTAATTCGTGCCAATCACTTTTGACACTTTCGCACAAAAAACGATGACTATCGACTGTTGTT